CTGCTGTGCTCCACTTCTTTCTGCTGCAGCCGTTAGAGTTGAACCCTTTATGTCTCTCTAGCAAGATGTTCTGCTCCTTAATCAGCTGGATGGGTCTTGTCTCTAGCCTCTTTGCAGGGAGTTCTGCTGAAGGGTTCCTTGCTGGGCCTGTACTCTGGGACTATTCAGGATCCTGTGGCCTCGGTAGTCTCACTCACTCACTGGGCCTGTGCTCTGGGTCTGTTCAGGATCCCGCTGGCCGGGGTCATCTCACTCACTTGCCGGGCCTGCGTTCTGAGTCTATTCAGGATCCGGAAGGCCCTCGGTCATCTCCCTACCATTTCTTTTAATCTTTTATTTGAAACAGTTGACTTATGTGTGGACTACATGCTACCTGCTTGGTTTTCTGCCATAAAAGTGAAATACATTCATGATTTTGAAAGGATTGAGAAACAGTCACAAACAAATGAGCATCTTGAACGTCTGGCCTTCACCCTGAACCGGGAGTGTGCTTGAAGATTAACCTCTCTTGACCCATATAAAGTGACTATCAACAGCCTAGAATCTGTACCTGCTTACTCTATTTTCATCTTGTAAATCAAGCCTAAAGGATTTTTCCACGTTAAGAAAACTAAAAAGCTAACAAAAAACAGTAGTCTGTTGGCAGCTAGTAGATCCAAAGCTAAAATCATTCATGATCATTAGCTCCATGCTTGAAAGGAAAGATGCTCATGAGTGATGGTGGTCAGACAGTGCCACCACCTGGGATCAGCCACAGGGGAGTCTCCTGCATTCAGTTTCTTAGGTCTTTGTAAATAATAGAAAATTTGAAGGCATAAAATTATGGTCATGTGTTATCAGGTAAAAGGAATAATAGTTATCAACAGTGGACATACAGTGAGGGGGAATATTAAAAGATAGAATTCATAGAAGACAGAACATAAAAATAAAATACCACTTCAGCAGACAAATATCTTTCCATTCAAACATTCTCTGATTCTGAAATTATACAGTTATTTTTAAAATGATTTTTCAAAACTTACTATATATTTTTGCCATACATAAGGATTGCATTCATTGTAATTGATACATATACATAAATATCTCAACTTTTTTTCCATTACTCATCTACTCTTCTTTTTCTTTTTTGACCAGCACCAAATCCATTTATCTCATAAGTGTTTCTAAAGTTAATTATCATGCTTACAAATAACAAGACTAATAGGCCAAAATGCATGAAAAGCTCATAAAAAATTATAGTAAATCAAGTGCATTTTTAGATACATTGTCTGTGCTGGGTTATAGTAACATTTAAACTCTGTTCCCTATTATCTTTTAGATTATACTTTTATATTCTATTGAGTTTCTGATATAAGCTTGTATATCCAATTTATTTCATTTAATATTATGTTCCCAAAGTACTTCCATTTTCCTACAAAGACCCAAACTTACCTTCTTTATAGAAAAGTAGTACTCTACTGTATATAAATATGTTTACTTTTGCATTAATCTGTTCATGGACATTAGGCTGCTTCCAAGATTTAGTTGCTATGAATTGTTCTGCTATAAACATTGGTATGCATATCATAACTGTATTGCATGTCTTTAATTCTTTTGAGAAGATACCTAGAAGGCGAACAGCTGGGTCAAATGAATTTCCTATTTTGTTTTTTTAAGGAACCTCTGTATTGATTTACATAATGGCTTTATCAGCTTGCAGTCCATCAACAATGAAGGAGGCTTCACTTTCCCCTGTAGCCTCTGAAAAATTTGTTATTGTTCAATATCTTGATGATAGTC